GTGGTAGAGCGCTAGCCTTGAGCTGAAGAGCTGAGGGACAGCGCCCAGGCCCAGAGTTCAGGCCCCACGACCGGACCCCCAAAAAAAAAAAAGAATTCCACACTGACACAGCTCTTCCCTCATATTTAATCCTAGATCTACAAAGCTGCTTGACTCACCGAAAAGTCCACAGTGCAGGTTCGGGGGTAGGCAGGAATACCAGGGCGGAATCTCCAAATAGTCTCTAAATGGTTGAAGAGCTTGCCATCAGTGCAAACAGCCTAGAATAAGACAATCAGCTAGCTAGTTACTTAGTATAGGAGGTGGAAAAGAAAGGGTTAGGATATAGCTTCCTGGAGCACTCACTTGGCCTTGTGTGAGGCCCTGGGTTGGATCCCCCATACCATAAAAATAAAGTTGTTTCCCTTCCTTCCCCTCTGATTTTTTTAAATTTATTCTTTTACCAGTCCTGGGCCTGGGCACTGTCCTTGAGCCTCTTTGTGCTCAAGGCTAGCATTCTACCACTTGAACTCCAGTGCCACTTCTGACCTTTTGTGAGTAGTTTATTGAAGGTGAGAGTCTCATGGAGGGCTGGGAATATGGCTTATTGCCACAGTGCTTGCCTAGCATGCATGAAACCCTGGGTTTGATTCCTCAATATCACATAAACAGAAAAAGCCAGAAGTGGCACTGTGGCTCAAATGGTAGAGTGCTAGCCTTGAGCAAAAAAACTCAGGGACAGTGTCCAGGCTCTGAGTTGAAGCCCTAGAACTGGCAAATAAAAAGAGTCCTACAGACTTTTCCTGCCTGGACTAGCTTTGAACTGCAATCCTCAGATCTCAGTCTCCTCAAAACTAGGATTACAGGTATAAGCCACAGGTGCCCATTTATTAGGTAAATAATCTGAGATAAAATAATTTTAAGAAATGTCCCCCCCCAAAAAAAAAGCCCTTAAATGTGAATTGCTAAGGAGGACAAAAAATATCCTGTCCCAAACAGGCCTCACCTTGACCATGTGAGGTTTGACCATAGAAACTGCAGAGGTATAGCGCTCCAAGACAGGTGGGAAGCCGACTTCCAACTGGGCTTTCAGGTGACCCTTACGGCTAGATACCACCAGAGACTTCTTACACCATGGCACAAACTCTCGATACTCCTGGACATTGGACACGACCTCATACATCTCCTGCATTGAGAACCTAGGGGAAAAGGATCACAGAGAGGCCAAGGAACTGCCAGCTGGGTCAGATTCCTATTTGTCACTGGTCCTCAACACCTGCCTTTGCCAGCTAACCACACAACTTTAGGAACTAAAGATTTGCCAAATGCAAACTTACATGTCTCTGGTGTTAAACTGTTTTAAGGTTTGCAAAATTTCACATTATTTTGAACACAAGAGAGACTTCTAGAGGAGTTTCTTATTGGCTATCACACAGGATCAGATCCTAGCTCTACAACTAACTATAAACCTAGGTAAAACCTATGCCTCTACTCTTACCTATGAAATGGAGCTAACAATACCTGGTTCATAGGTTTGTTGTAAGGAATGAGGGAAATTTATGTAAAATACCTAGGCAGTCTTGCTGCTAGCACATAACAAATTGGTCAATAAGATATTATTCCATTGTGTTTATAAAATGTTTGAAAGGATCATCAGAGAAGTAATAACCTGTTTCTGTTTTTGTTGTTGGGATTTTTTTGGGGGGGTGGAGGGTTGTGGGTTTTTTTGTTTGTTTTTTGAGATAGGGAGTTGCTATGTAGTCCAGGCTGTCCTTGAACACAATCCTGCTTGCCTGTATTATGGGCAGGAACTATCATCCTAACCTACTCTGTTGGGTTAATACATATCTTTGCTATAGTCCAACCCTAGATTTATTTCGCCTAAAATACATGTACAGTAACCAAGAAGAAGGCTGGCAGAAGATAGGGGAAAAAAAAGTCCCAAGTATGAATCTTAATTATCTGTGCCCTTACGCTGTACCTAGACATGGTTAAGTGGAGGGGAAGAGGAGGATGCTCACCCCATAATCCTCCGCTCTGAGTAAGCCTTGCGCTTGTTGGTGAAAGGGGCTGCAAAACCCATGAAGGAACGACAAGGAGGTAGGCCAGCCTCAGCTGCCAAGACCTGGGCAGCCCGGGGCAAGAGGAGGCTGCAGGAAATCAGAAACCTAGGGCCAAAAGCAAAGGAAAGGCAACGTCACGATGTTTTTTTTCTTCTCTTTTTGCAGCCGATCATTTCCAGATGCAAGGGAAGAAGGGTTCATCCCAGAGGAAGGTCGTCCAGACAAGCTTTGCCCCTCCAGCACCTGCTGCGGCTCTCCCAGCTCCCTGGCCAGGCAGTCACGAGTGCAAAAGGTCGAGGGCAGCTAAGGACAGGGCCAGGGGTGGGGCTGGAAAAAACGGGAGTATGCAAAGACACTGTCGCTTTTGGGCGATTCTGCTCAAAGCAAAAGCTGTCAAGGAACACACACTCACACACACACACTCTCTCTCTCTCTCTCTTTTTTTCTCTCTCCCAGCCCCTCCAGCCCAGTTAACAGCACATCTCCAACAAGGGACAAGAGGTGGGGTGGCACCGTACCCCGAGGGTACAACTTGTAAAAGCATTCTCCAAAGCTCTACGCTAGCTCCCAAGACACCGCCGCTGCCAGCCACCTAGGGCCGCCACCCCCCACCGTGGAACTCCGGGGGCGCCAGGCGACCCCTGCCCCGCGGCGCGGACGCCCGGCGCCTCGCTCTCACCTCATTGGTCGCGGAGGGCCGGGGGGCGGGGCCGAG